ATTATGAAGACGTCAGTATAGGAAATCACCATCAGCTCCTCAGCCCTGTTGCTGTTGGAGCTTCTGAGCACAATATTTGAATCCTGGTCTTCCAAGAACATTTTTTTTTTTTTGCTTGAATTTGTCATCACATACTCTGCATGATGGATAGACCTGGGTTTTTTGAAAAAAGCTCCACAATTTTGAACCATAAATGTCACATTTGCATAATTCCTTTCTTTCTTCTACCTTTTTCCTCTTCTCCCCATCCCACCAAAGCAGAGAAGATCAGTAATTTTTTTACCATTGTTATTGACAAAAGGAGAACATGAACAAAGGAATGAAAAGAAAGTAGGAGACAACATGGGGCTAAATATCCTGATCAAAACCACTTTTGTCATTTGGGTATCAATTTTTACAGCTAATTTGGCACAGCATCCATAGCGAGCTGCCTGCAAAGACATGAGATGATTTGGGAGTGAGAAATAAGTCTGCAGGCTTCCTGTGCGTGGGCTGAGCCCCGTGCAGCCGGGTACATTGCTGTCTGCCTGAGCTCATCTTTGTTTGCTCTTCACCATTCTGGGGCTTGCAGGACCACTGCTCTGCAGCAGTGGGTTTATTGCTGTGTTGATTTGTAACCCGTGAATGTTTCCAATGAGATGTGTCTAATTTATTGGCATAAACCGTTAGATTTTCCTTCAGTGCCCTGGAGTTTCTGATTCACCAGCTGAAAACTATTATCACAGAGCACATAATCACTTGGAAAGTGCCTCTGTATTCTCTTTTTTTGTGTGTGTGTTAAATTCAACCACATAAATAGGAGTTTTATAGCACAAAATAGGCCAAAAAGGTACCAGATGTTCTGTATTTGTGTTTTGTTTTTACCTTAGGGAAGGTTGGTCAGTAGTGATGCTCACAGCTGATGTGAACCTTGGGCACTGTCTGTGAACTTACCTCATAACACTCCTGCAAGAGGCTCCAACCCTCTGAACAGTTTCAAGTGCACAGGCTGGGCTTGGAACTGTGACAATTTCAGCTGGAAATAAATTTTCATCATAGTAACGTTTGGTGAGAGTGCAAGGGCTTTGAAAGCATCTTGTCAGATACAATTCTGGCAACTGCCAGAGGAGCAGAGTCCAGATTGTTCCCACAACCAGGACAGAGGATTTCTTGGCCCAGTGTTGCTGCTGCTTGCCTTCATCTGAGTACATTTCTAATCTACTCTCTGCTAGTTTAAACATATATTTTAATTGGGTTCTAGTCTGAAAGGAGGATCAGGCTTATTAGTTTTCAGTAGTTCAAAAAATCTTCTCTCTAAGCCTTCCTTATTTCCCCCTCTGTGAACAGAAAAATGGCCTTATCTTTTGCACAGATCCTTCAGGTTCTGGGCATCAGCTTAGATTCACACCTTGTTTTAGGTTTTCCCCCTAAACTTAGAGCAGAACTTCATGCTGGGTCAGTCACATTGCTCTTCTTCAACATCCACACAAATAAAGCTCCTGCTCATGGTTATAATCCAATTTCAACCTGTGTTCTGCCTCTAAGGGAGGAGTTTGGTAGAAAACTTTTCCAAGGGCCACACAAAAAGTGACTGAAGAAAAGGAAGTTTGTGCCTACACTCTGCAACAGCTTGAATAAGGGAAACATTAAGAAATGCTCAACTGATGACACTTTTTTTAGGAACTTACCCATCAAGAAGATTGAAAGACATTTTGGTATTATTACAAACCTCTGCATTGTGGTCGTGTTTCAAATTCTGGTAATAGTCTACTTTTTTTAGCAATACAATAATTGCACCTCTCAATGGGAATGCTACTTAGGAATAATGATCCTATCAAGACAAGAGAATATAGATTGTAGTAAAGGTTATGATGGTTTCTGTGAGAGGCTTAACATTGATCCTTTTAGTTATCTGATTTTCCAGGAGAAGAAAAATACCCCTAACTACTTTGAGTTTAGCATGTGATTTGGTGTGAAAATTCTTATGGGTGGTTTTAGAAGATGGAACTTCAAGTAAATTTGCTAAACTGCTTTTTTCCTCTCTCTTGTTTGATGAATACATTTTAAAAGAAATGGATTTTTTTTTATTCCCCACACATTTTATGCTTTTCTCAGTTCTTTTAGGCCTTTTTTTTTCCTTCTTCTTCTAATGCAAGTCAAAACTGTTGGAGAAATCAAAAGTAAAAATCCGTTATGTTGAAAAGGCCATGTTGTGAAATATATCATAAACATGCTGTTAGAGCAGTGTCTCCTAATTAATGGAGAGAGCTCCTGGGAAACAGCAAGCCTGTAACACAGCTCAGCCCCCTTTGATCCTCTGGTGAGTTTGTAAAATCGTTGCCCGCCTAAACTTGTCTGCAGCTTGTTACACGTTTTATCCATCTGCTGCGAGAACAAAAATAAACCATTTAGAATTCAGCTGAACTCCAGTTGTTCAGCATATCACTGACTGTGGAGTCTTTACTGAGAGGATGGTAGGAAAAGCAAAGCAAAGGTGAAACAGACAAAAGACACCGGAAAGAGACATTGTTTTTGTCTGGAAAAGACATTGGTTTTGTCTCTAGATATTATGTAGAGTTGCATGATTATGTTGCAAGTTGCATGTGTGAGTTGCAGGTGTTACTGCAAAGATTTTTTGGTGAAATACAAATCAGTGTCTGTCTATTGTCTATAAACTGAAATCAAACCACTTGTTGGGGCTCCTAGGATTCAGTCCAGACAAATTTCCCAGTCTTGGGCAGAGCTGTGCATGTGTACACATGTGTATGTGTCATGTCCCCAGCCTCCAGGCAACTGCTTGGTACATGGAAGTTCACATTCAAATTTTATTTGCTGCTTGAGATGGCTGAGTGACCACATCCAAGCTCTGCAGGTGGCTGTAGATCACTGCTGCACTTCCCTTGCTGAAGCAAAATCCTGCCTTGAAAACTCCCTCCATCTTTTTGGTTGTGGTACCAACCTCCCTGTGTCAGTCTGTGATGTTTGCCTGAGTGTGGTGTTGCCAACCACAGCATCCAGAAGTGGGATAGCTCTGTTGGACCCATCAGGTGTTAGCTCCAAAATCTAATAACAAGAGGAGCTAATTATTCCCTATGCAAATATCACAAGGCTTTGTTCTGTTGATTTTTATAACAGAGCAGCACTTCATCTCAGCACCCATATGTTTTATCTCCATCAGTTAGGTATCACTTCTGGATGCCTGCATCCCTCTGAGGGCTGCTGCTGCCATGGATCTTGCTGCTGAGACAGAGGGAGAGCACTGTGAAGTTCTCCTTTCATCATAAACCAGAAATTCATTTGCTCTTGCCTGTAAATAAATGACAGGTTAAAAATGTACCCAGTATCTGGCACTTACTCACCAGAGTTTCTCTCCTTCCATGCCTGGGAGAATCTCACTGTTAAAAGTGCCATCTCTCCCCAGTGCCTTCTCTGTGATTTACCAGTAGCCAATCCACGTTATGCTGCAAATGTGTTGTTTGGAGCCTGTAATCTCTTTTGGTCTATGAGAAAATCAGTTGCACAAAGCAGAGGCTTTGCCAAGGGCAGGGTTGGAAAGAGGAGAGTCAGTGAAGGGAACAGCTCACCTGGGAGGGAAGGCTGTGGCACTGCCTGTTCCTTGCCAAAGATTTAATGGCAGGGAGCTTTACCTGGGTCCCAGGGCTGAGCTGAGGGCTGGAGGCTGCCAGACAGATGCTGGAACAGTGTGTGCCCTGAGCCCTGGGAGTTTGTGACAGCCACAGCTTTTAAAATGCCTTCAGTAACCCACATTCATTCACTGCCCTTGTTAGGGCTGCAATTCTTAGCACACGCTGAAGCTGACAATAAACCTGTTGGAAGTGTTTGCAGCATAAATCAACATCATTGAAGGAAATCATTTGGCACAGGTGTTTTAAAAGTTAAAGTCCTCTTGAGTCCCTGATCTCGTGTCCACAAGAGCTGCTCACCAAGCAAAGTGGGATCTCCTTAGTCTGTGCTCCATTAAAAGATCCACAACACTGAGATTCCCACTACATTTCCCTGGAGATCATTTCACAAGGTAATACACATTGCTGCTGAGCTTATTTTCTTGCTGTTACACCGTAGTTACCCTTTTACTCTGATTACTTTTAGACCTCTCAATTCAGCAAGACATTTATATTAATTTTGAAACTTCTTTTTAGTTGTCTTTAAGTCTAAAATCTGCACCTATTTAATTCTTTCTTCCTAAACCCATCATCCTATTTGTAGGTTTCTCCCTCTCAGAGTTCCTAAAAGAATATCTGTCTTGTGATAACGTGGGAAGATGTATATTGGGCAAAAAGGCAAGTTAACTTTCTGCAAGTTATGTTTTTATTTAGAGTTTAGATGAATTTTGAAAAAACATCATATCGACATGACACCAGTGCTTTTGCTTCTGTTCTCAGTAATTTTGTACCTATAATATTTCACCTCCTCTGTTTGGCTTTTTTTTTCCTCCCATTTCTGTGAATGGCAAAACAGCTCTGGGCTATGGGCAGAGAAAGTTTCTTCATAGCTTTTCTTCTGGAGCAAATAAATTGAGATACTTGTCTGACATGGGCTGCTACTGCAAGCTTTAGGCCTCTCATTTTCAGCATTCAAAACATAATTCTCGCCAAATTCACCTACCTTCAGTTTTCTCACCTGCTCATGCTAATGCTAAGGAAACTGGGGCCAGGAGGTTATTTGAGATTTTTGATTGCAGGTTGTTTTGTACCTTTTTTTCCCCAGGTCTGTTGACAGCTGTAACCAGTGTGTGTGCACTTCAATAAGTTACTTGTGTTCCAAGGTTCTGTGTTCTTATTTTTATCTAAGGTTTAGCAATTGAATAAAAGCTTTCTCAATCTCTGCAGGAATATGTGCAATTTGTCCATCATTTCTGGATTTCTGGTGGTATTCTCAATGGGTAGAAGTGCTTTTTCCATTTCCCCCTCTCAGTTCTAGACTTCTTACATAGATAGTGTGTCGACAGGTGTTGATGGACAAGCAATTTACAGTAATTTCTTGTGGTGCTTATTCTGTAGCTCCCTGAATTATAAGTGACATGCTGGCACAGCTGAACAACTGATCACCAGACACTGGCATAGTGTTAAACATGGCTTCTGAGGCTGCTCAGAATTTCCTCCAGCCACTGTCTTCTTGGATGTCTCAAATATACGAAGCAATCCAACAAGCAGGAGACTCCATATCTGCCTCTCTGCTGAATTTGAGTGGAGTGGGGCGTAAGCCAGAAGAAGAGAGGACTCAGGACTTGGAGAATAATGGAGGAGTTTATGAGGATTATTCTGAGGAATCAGATGATGAACAAGACCTGGACCTTTGGGATGAGGACTATTTCTATCCTGGAGAAGACAGCTACATTGGAGGCCCTCATCTTGCTTCACAGAACCTCCCTTGTGGCTCTGACATGGGCTCACAGAGGCAGAAACAGCTTAAAAATCCCAGCACCTTGCCAGAGCAGCGTGCTGAAAGCAGCAGGTCCTTGGCAGCCAATGGATCCCAGTGGATGGGGGAAGATCTCCAGGCTCTGGATCGGCTCCCTCCCATCGCCGAGGAAGAAGGTGAGCCCTCTGTGAGGATGGGAGGTCATGAGCACAGCCTCAGCCTGGGTGGCTCCTTGAGCACTGCTAATGGCACAGCACACTGTGCAGGTAAGCAGCTGGCATGCACCCCCACTGCATTATCTCAGGCCTTGCTTTTCTGCTCATGATTTGACTTGATTTGATTTAGTTGCTAATCTGCTCATTATGTTCTGTATTGTCTCTGTTTCCCACAGCTAAAATAAAACTCCCCAAATCCCAAAGAAAAATCTAACCTTTCCAATACTTCCCTCGTTTGTGAGACTAATCTCATTGAAAGAAGTGGAGATCTCCAGGGTGAAATGCTGAGTTTTAGAAGGCAATCTGGCCTGTTGCTGTGGCAAGGAGTGTTTTGCTTCCTTCCCTGTTGAGTTTCTGGTAGCAGGACCCTTCAAAGGGAATGTTTAGCCTTAAGTCTTTGCTTTGAGAACCATCTGCCTTTGCGTCATTGCTATTAAATATATATATATATATATATATATATATATATATGTAATCTCAAACCTTGTTTCTTTGTGCCAGGAATCTCAAGATGTTACTGTGCCATGTGCTGTGAAATGCTGCACTAAAAAGCCAGCCCTATCTCATGATTTTATGGATGAAAGGCTCCCAAATCACTTTCCTCCCCTCCCACCGCCCCCACAGGCTTTTCAAACAAGACTGAAGAGACAGCAGGCAGGAGATTATGGGAATGAGAACTGAGTTTGATATTTTCAGTTTTAAATAGGCCTAACTATGACTTCTGATCTTTAAATGACAGCAGGAGTGTTTTCAGGCAATTGTGCCCAGAACTGAGTTTCAGCCACATGACTTGTGCTCACGCAATGTCACAAGTGTGGCTGGAGGTTTCCTGGGGGCTACATCCTGGGCTGCTGACACCATCCTTGGCTCTTGCTGGCATAAAGCTGCTCTTTACAAACATCCTAAGAATGGGGATAAGGCTGGGAAGAGGATGAGGGGGACTGGATTCTATGGAGCTGATGAAGAGCTTGAGGCTCACTGTGACACTACAGAATTTGGCTTCAAATATCTAACTTTTTTTTTAAGCAGGTGTTAAATGTTCTTTGAAATGTCGGTTTTATTGTGACCAGGAGCTTTTCTTCACTCTTGGCTTCTAGGGAAGCCTTAGTATTTAGCCTTTTCTGTGCAGGCTGTGGAAGATCAGCTTGTTTGTTTTTGTATTTAGCAGGAATATCAGATTGAGAGGGTATAAACCTTGATGGTGCCCTTTAATGACTGTAAAATTAACTCTTTTCTTTATTCTCATTTCTCATTTCTCATTCTCATTCTCTTATTCTTATTTCTCACTCTGTTATGGCCAGGGAGTAAATAATTAAAAAGTGCTTTTGGTCTAGCTGTTCTGCCTCCCAAACTGAGACTGCTTGTTTCGTATTCCAAATGAAAGATTGCCAGTTCTCAGATCAAAGATCTCAGAGTTGTATCTCTTGGAGCCCAGCCTCTACCTTCTGGTACCTCTACACATTGCCTGTGCAATCTCCTGCTCCCAAGGTTTGTCCACAGGCACCGAGCCAGTGCTGCAGGGCTGGGTTTGCTGTGTGTGCTTGGGTTGTGTGAGCAGTGTGAGCACAGAAATCGTGGAGCAGGGCACCAGGTGTCCATCCAGGGAGTGCTGGGGCCCTGGATCCTCTTGGACAAGTGCTGTCCTAGGGCATGACCTTGTCTCCTGCAGAGCCTGCACCCCTGTGCCTCAGGAGGGGCTGCTGGAACAATTCACAGCAAATCCAGGTGCCAAATGCATCATTCCTAGGGCAGCCTCCTGTCCCTGGACCACAGTGGATGAGAGGAAAGGTGGTGAGCTCTCAGGGAAATGGGGCCCAGCAATGAGCTGCTGTCCCTGTCAGAGCTGTTTGTCCCCTGCAGGGACATCTGAGAGACAGGGCTCTCAGGAGTGGGGGATGGACCAGATGGAGTTTCCTGGTGAGAAAGACTTAGTGACACACAGATGCCATCCCTGCAGCTCAAGGGAGGCTCCCTCCGGACATCTGTCCCAGATGAGAGCAGGTACTGGCCAAGCTGCTGTTTGACTCTGTATTTTTTGGCTTTCCTTCTCCCTAACCTTCCTGGAGCCATTGTGGATTAGAAGGTTGGTGCCACAGAGCTCCCAGCACCTACAGTGCTGCTTCCTAGAGCTCTCTGCTTCCTCACCAAGCACTTCAGGGACCATTGCACAGCTTCTTGCACCTTAGGGAATGTCATTCCAAATGGTCTCAGGTAGACTTTAATCTTTTTATCTCTGCAATGAGCTGCACAAAGGGCCATCCAGTGATCTCAAGACTTCATAGTCACAAAAGTTGGCTGTGTGAGGGTTAGAGGGCTGGGAACTGATACCTTTTTCTCTCAGAACTAAGTTGTATAATGGGAGAGAAAGTGCTGAACTGTGGTTTCAAAATGTCTTCCACAGACCCTTTGATGTGGAAGAACTCGTTTCGCTCTTCTAAGTGAACTTTCACTTCCAAAACACACATGCTCTTTGTATTTCATTTTTCAACGCTTTATTTCCTCTTTTTCCTTTAGATTCATTCTCTAACATCAAGAGTGTGAACTCTTCTGATGGTAACCTAGACATGCAGAGAGGCTGTAATACCCTGGCAACTTAAAATTTCAGTCATGGATTAAAATGATCAAGAGAAGATGTTTGAGGTATCCTTATTTCTGTTAGCTTTTTACCTAACCCTAAGTGACAATGTAAGTGACACATGGACTTGCTGACATTCAGCAAAGCTGTTCAGTAGCATCAAAATGAGCTTTGAACATTTTTCCTTCCATTTGGCAGTTCCCCCCTCCCCATTTCTGCAAAATACGTGTTTCCTGTTTATCCTTGTATTCTTTTCAGAACATTTCATCTTGACTTTATTTCACTTAATGTACCATATTTCTCTCCACAATAGAATATTTTAAAGCTAAATTGGCACAAAACAGTAGCAATGCTGAATGCTTTTTGTTGCCATGGAAATATTTCTGGGCACTTACTGAAGACCTGGTTGCCAATAGTAATGTAACAGAGAAAATAGATATGCTTCATTTAACAGCCACTGGTGATTAAAGAGCCACAGAAACCTGTTACAAGGTCATTCCAATATAGAGTTTATTTGGTTTAGGGGGAAAAAGCCCTGCAGCCCTAGGTGAGAATACTTTTGTTTTAAAAGAGATGCAAAACAAAACCAACAGATGTTTCCTTCTCTTAAACTGACAGCATGCTTCTGAGATGAAGTAAAATAACACTGTAGTTGAAAACCATCATTACTCCATCTCCTTTTTATCAAATATGTTTTAGATCCCATTTTTTGCCTCTTTGGAAATGTTTTCTGCCTCCCAGAGTAGATTTTCTTAGGCTCTGAAGCAGCACACATATTACTGAAAACCTATTTTAGACTTAGGGATCTAATAAATTGTTTGAGCAATGAAATTCTTGGGTTTTTAAGTCAAAAGTCCATCAGACACCATGAGGCAAGTTAATCATAGGGTGCAGGTTTGGCTGCTGCCCAGTGCTGGTCTGTAATTAAATGATGGTAGCAAAGTGGTAGCAAGTTTTCAACCAAATGGAAGTAAAAATTGTTTTGTTTTGTTTTTTTACTTTGGATGCTTTTGATCCCCAGTTTAATACTGAGAAGGTAGCTCAGCAGGAAATATTGCAGTGCCAAGTGTTTGGCTTAAGAAGTTAATGATGGCAAGGCAGAGTCTTCTGTGTGTGCAGATTGCTGCCACCAGTGGCAAATCGTGTAGCTGTGAATTTTGCAGAAACAGATGAACTTGCTCTCTCAGGCCCTCGCCCATTGCTCAACCTCAGTGCTTGTGACAGAGGAATTGTCTCAGGGCAGAGCAGGGAGAGAGCAGCCTTTGCATCCCCCCATGGCTGAGATGCTGCTGCTCAGCTGACTGGGGGTGGCTGGCAACAGTGTGGCTGCCAGATCCATCCTTGCACATTTAGCTTAAGAAAATTAATTTTCTTTTGAAAATGAATTTTTTTTTCTTTTTAAAATACAAGCCAACAAACAGCGGAGCAAGAAACCACATCTGAAAGTAGTGCACTGCAAGTAGGAGGGTAGAGGTGGCCAGTCCTGCTTCCCAGCATGAATCTAAAGGGGGAAAAGACAGCAATAATGAAAAAAGTGAAGAACAGCAATGACTGAGCAGTGAAAGCCAGAGGGCTTTAGCCCCCTTCTCCCTCAGGGCTGCTGTCCTTTACAAACAAAAAGCCAAAGTGACCATTAAGTTCTCAGTCTCACCAGACACTGCCCTGAAAAGGCATGGGGACAGACACAGCAGCAGAGCTGAGCCTTCTGACTGAGAGCTGAGCTATTTTTGCAGTGGTGAAGTCTCCCAGGCTGTCTGGCACTGCTCACAGCACTGGTGTAATGGATAGGTGAGCACAGCACTTCCATTGCAAAGAAGCCTTTAGAGATTTTTTTTTCTCCCCCATCAACTTGACAACCTCAGTGCCAGCTGAAGGCTGCATTTCAGCTGCACTAAAATCATTTTTGTGGCCTTGGAGCGCTCAGAAGTGTGACAGCCCTGTCTGGATGGCTGGCTAGTTCTCCTCAGTATGTGTGTGAGGGCAAGCACACCTCTGAGACTCAGGGAATTTTTAAATCTAGAAAGCACTATTGCATTTACTTACCTTGGCCTCCAGCTTAACAGGGGTCATTGATTTTTGCCAGTAATTGCTGTAGTAAAGGAAATTATTCTTTCTGCTCTATATGAACACTCCTGACCTCAGTAAATGACCCTTCATACAGACAGGAAATCCTAGGCAAGAAGTGAGGTTTTCATTAGGACCTGTAAACCCATATAGCAAAGAATACCCATAAGAAGAAGATGTTGATTATGTGATAAATTAAATTTCTGCTTGAACTCGAGACTAAAATAGATAGATGGCCAGTCTCCACATTGAGAAGTGAAGTGTTTATGAATTTTATCACCTGTCTGAGTATGGAGCCAGCCAGCGTTCTAGCCAGAATGTAGCCCTATAAAAATCAGTGCCTGTACTCCAAGAAGGACATTTAAAGAGGCTACACTGAATCAATACCACCATGAGGACTAAGGGAATGAAA